AATGGTATAACAATACTAACGGAAAATATATAACTGTGTACCTGATATGTACTCCAAGTCCACGGTGTTTGCCAGAGCATTCTAAACATATCCATATTCCATATGTAACACTTACCCACTGGGGGTTATGAGAACCACATTCAAAACAATTCTAAAAATAATGGTACAGTAAATATCCAATTTAATTTTGAGATTAAAAATATTAAAGTTTTTAAGAATTACTAATTTAAGTAAGTGATACAAATCTCTAGTTCTTCAAATTTTTTCTTTAACAAACTTGTATAATACGATTAAATTTTTAAGAAACTTATACAACATAGAATTCCTAAATCTTGAGTTTAGATAGTAATTCTTTTGCTAATTGTATTTTGTCATGTATATTATATTAATTGTCATAATATTTTAAAGATTTAACATGAATATTGTAATAGTTTGAAGTCAATTGAACTAATGTTGGATAAAAATGACATTTAACATTTCATTTCAAATTTTCTCTACTTTTTCAAATATGTAAGCTTATTACAATAAGAAATAGATCTTATACAGAAAAAAAAATTAAGAGGTAAGTTTTTTTACAATATTACATTAAAAAGTAGCTAATAGTATTTTATTGACATGTTTATGTATAAAACAAAAATTTCTGAATTCACAAATTTGAAGTCAGTCAAGTAAAAAAGTCATTGTTAGTGAATATTTTACAGTACATGCCTTATTTGGATCTATTTAAAATATTAAATAGTAGTAAAATAAATTAACACATTGATAAATTTACATTAAATTTGAAAAACAACTGGATTCCTTTTACAACTGAAAATAGACAGGATACATATGATGAAAAAGAAAGAAGTTTTACTTTGGGGTGAAATAGAGCAAAAAAAAAAAAAAAAATTTTTTTTACCAATACAGTATACATAGTCTTTTAATGATTTATCAAGCAAACCATTACAAAGAACTAAATGTATTAGAACACTGTACATTACATATTACAATAACTATATATTATTAGTGACTTTATTGATATATCTGAATAAATTCACTAAAAAATATAAACATAAAACTAAACACACAAACATAAAACTAAACACACAAAAAGTTAGAATCTTACATTATTATCATCTTTGGTTCTCAACTCTTGAAGGACACGTTTTGTTCGAGGACTGGCCATAGTTTTGAATCTAAAATAACATAAAATTTTACTGTACTCAATTTCAATCACAAAAAATACTTGAATAATCAAATAGCACAACATGATTTTTACAAAATAAAACCTTCCTTTACTTTTACAGATTAGCTAATTATTTAGTAAAAGAATTTCATTAAAAAAAAATTTCAATAAATGAAGATATTTCATTTAATTGGAAACTCTATATCAAATTATGTTCATGAAAACTTGTTCTACCAATTACATGCAGAAGCAGAAAATTCCCAGTATATTGACTACCAGACGGATTGGAACTAATTTCGCAATCTGTGAAACTAGACTCATTTATGGATTTTTACAAATATACATATTGCTATTGCTGTATATTTTTTATAATATACATAACACAAGTACAGAGATCAGACAAAATGCTCAATCCACTTTGGTTAAAGAGCTCTACATATCTGAACATTTTTTCATAAAAAAAACACTATTTTCAGATGCTAGTATACTTACAGTTTTAATCTTACTAGCTTGACATTTTCAACTGCAACACATAACTACAACAAACACAATATGTTGAAAATCTTCAAATATTAGTAAAAACAGAACTTATATATTATTGCAACCTATTGGCGACATTATATGAAGCGAAGCCCATGGATGCCAATTCAGCACATATGACACATAGAAAATTGGGGTTGTCAACTTAGCAAGTTATTAATGTAGTTGGTGATTGTTGGGATAATACACAAGTACTGTAAAATGACAAAAGAACAACATTTGATTTCACATACATTACATCCATCCATCATTAGACTGACGTTGGCTCAAATGATCATATTGTAAAGGTGAGTTTATAAGTAAATAAATATTATATGTCTTAGTCTGGGCAGATAAATTACAGTAACAATCAATTTAGGAAGATTAAATTTTTTCTGAATACAAGGAAATTGTGTAGATGTTAATATTGGGTTATTCAACAAGGTGGGCAACTTTTTGGAGATTCTGTTGCAAATTTATTAAAACCATACTTAAGATTCTTACTAGAAAAGTGTTACGTCAAAATTCATTTAAATGTTAGATATTCAAAAAAAAAAGCAAACTCCATTTATAATTCATTAAAAATTTATGAATTGATATTGTTTTCTAAATTCAAACATCAAATTTTACACCTAAATTGAAATATTAAGCACATTTACTCAATTATAAAGGAAACAATTGGATTTTTTCTAGAACAGTTTTATATTTTTTCAAACAATTACTTGATAAAACTAAGTTTATACAAATACATGAATGAAACAGCTTACATACAATTAAAGTTCATACATAAACAAAATATTCAAAAATTTAATAGTATTATAACTTTCATACTATTGTATCCGCATAGTCTCATCTTATGTAAAGACATAATTACATTTTACATAACTTAAAATATGATCAATTCCTTAAATTTTGATACATTTTATGAAAGATAACACTGAATTCAATAATTAAGGAAATTATAATTCATGTATTTCTTCATGAATGTAAAATTTCTTTTAATACATACAAATGTACTCTTGATCAGAAAAATTGGAAGTACCTTATATCAAAAATAACAAAATTTAAAAAGTACGTAAATATTCCCAAAGAATATTTTCTGTTATTATTATATGAAACTATAAATATTAATAATAAAAATGTATTCTTCCTATTTGTATGGCATATCAAATTACAATTGCTTTTAAACAGCAAGAAATGTAACCATACAACTTAATGAGGTACATTAACACATAATTAGTATATTTTCTTCAGATGTATGTACATACATAAAGAAATCTTAGAAATAAGTAAGATTCTATATATTATAAAGTCAAACAAAATAATTATTATCAGCTGGAAATAAACTAAATTATAGGCGAAAGAAAGAATTAATAAAAATTTCCTACATTAAAAGTTCCAGGTTAATTCACTATAATATAATAAAGGTTCAGTTTTCGAACTCTCTTTTCTCTTATTTTAAATACTACTTATTTCACTATAATACCTTGACAAAGAATTTAATTTATAATGGTTTAAAGCTCTAATAAGGGCAGATTTTTTTAACCCAACAAAACTGAATAATACACAAGAGTTTAATTTAAATAATATTTCAATAGGTATTAGGACCAGAAAAATTGTAGTCAAGTTAAAAAAAACACAATATCCGATAAAGCCAATAAATTTCATTTCAATTACATGCTCATGTACCATTTTGAAGATAAATTCTCGCTGCTTAATAATAAAACAAGAATATATTAAAATATGTCGATTTAATTTTAGGAGTAAAATTTTTTTTCTAAAAAAATTAAGAGGATAAAATAACATTTTTTAATTAAATAAACAAAGACGATATAACAATCAATACATGCAAGTAAAAAAAATGTTATTCAAAATTAAATTCTCTTATACCGACATATAATTCAAATTCAATTTAAGAATAACATAGATCATGTTGACTTAAAAAAGTTTGATTATAAACAAATTTGAAAAATTATTAAAATCCTAAAAATTTTACTAAATGTCATCTGATTACAAAAAGGAAACAAGTTCCCAAGAGTTTCATTGTAAACAAAAAGAAAAAAAATCACACATAAAATTCATTCTAAGCTGAAATTACAGATTTGACAAATGTAAATAAAATATTCCAAAACCTACATACTGTCACCTGTTGCTAATAAAAACAAAATTAACCCAAATTTTACGGATAATTTTCATAGAAAAACATAGAATATGAAGGAGTGCAACGTACTTAATGATCAGGACAAAAATAAAAAGAGAATTTATCTAAAAAAAACTATATAAAACATAAATATGTTAGAATAATAACAGCTATCTGATGAGTTGTCATATGTCTTCGGTGCAGCCAAGAAAAGAGTTTAGATGTTGCCATAGCATATTTACGAATGAAAAGTTTGGGAATTATTTGGTTATCTACTTATCATAGGCACGTGATTTTTTTATTACTATTACTGATTTCTGACAATCTTTTTCTCGCAGACAAATCAAAATAAAACAAGATGGGAAGAATATATATAAAAAGCATCAAAATTATTTTTTTTATCTTTCCTTCGTCATATTAATTTTTTGATAAATTGGTACTATCACAAACAAATCTTAAAAATTATCAAAACTCTTTCTCTCTCTTTGCACTTTTATTTTACTTTAGTGAGTGTTCATTTCCGACTTTGGTGATAAATATTAACATATTCGATTTACGATTTTATTCAAACTACTGTGGTGGTATCTTTATAAGCCAGTAACAGTCTCAGGACATGAGTGATCACTTTTGTCTAGTGGTTATGTTACGCGGCTACAAACCCTGGCTTCGCAGGTTCTGTCCTTGGACATGAACTTTATTATTCATCATATTTCGCAAACGCCGACGACATTCAATGTTTTCACTACGTTTGTGTTACATAAGGCTGTCGTTCATTTTCTTTTATTCAAAGTTTATCATTGTTAGTGCTGCCGTTTATCGGTATAGGATAAAATTAGTCCATTTTTGTAGTCTATTTCATTTTATCTCTCTATGTATAACAGGTAATATAAAAAAAATTAAGTAAATTCCTACTTATGTCAACAAAGAAAATTTTTATTTGAGTTACTTTTTATTAAATAGCTATAATTAATATAAATATGTATATGTATATGACAAAATCACAATATTGAGTGACAAAATAGAAAGTGATTCTCCATGCAATTTTCCATTTTCCTTTCTCTGCATATGTTGTTGGACTATTTTTGTTTTTGTTTGTTAATATTTATTCAATAATAAACTTTAATTATTTAAAAAAGATAATTTAGTAAAAAGAAATCACATTCTCAGAAACTAGGTCATCTTAGGTGGAATTTGAGCCCACGACCCTTGAATTAGATGTTCAACGCGCTAGCCATTGCGCTACAGGGGCACAGCGAGTGGTTTTCCTTTCTATACATGGTGTTGGACTATTATTTTTGTTAGTTAATATTTATTCATTAACTAAATTTAATTAATGAATTAATATTTAAAAAAAACTGTATTAACATCAAGTGTTATCCACTACAAGTTTAAAAAATTGTATTTGAACTTGAGTGGATGAATAAAAAGTATTTTGTTAACGATTGAAAATTTGAACAATATATATAAATAAATATATATATGGGTAGAGTATGAACTAAAAATAGTAAGAATTGAAAAAGAGGGTAAAAAAAAGGGAAGAATCACACACACACTAGGGTAACCCGGGAACGGGATACCTTGTTTACCAAAGGTAGTAAACCCCTTGGAAAAAGAAAAAGATCATTAGGGCACCTCGGGCTTGCGACATTCGTATTCATCTAGAGGAAAATAGCCCCCTTAGGGGTCCATTTGCTTGTAAGTGTGTGTGTGTACGACGTTAATAAATTATCAATCTCTCATTGATGGTCCATTTTTGTTTTACTATTTTTCTTCTTTTGTTTGAAATGAAAACAATTTAAAAGATAATTGTAATTTAGAATAGTGTATAAGCATATTTTTTCCTCAATGAAAAAGAAAAAGAATCAACTTACGGCGAAAAGAAAAAGAAGTTTCACCGAAACGCTCATTTGAATAAAAAATTTAGCATTTATGTGCAGCGTTGCCAGATCGTGTGATTTTTCGCGAATTTTGCTACTTTTTAAAACTTTTCGCTATTTTTTTATCCCATTGCAACTTCGTGAATTTTATGTTACTTTATACCCGCAACTTTTTGCTACTTTCAATCTTATTTAAAAGTATTGGAACGGGTCTCGGAAAATCAAAAAAAAAAAAAAAAAAAAAAAAAAAAAAAGTGACTTTAGTCCCCAAAGAAAACATGGAGTTGCAGTATGATGTTTCACCACTCCGAAACGACATGAAACGCTGTAATTTCTCCCCCTCGCCACCACCGCGAATCGGAACCTATCTAAGTGAAACTAGGGCCGACTCTAGCAGATTTGCCGCAGGCCGCGGTAGCCGAGTGGAATAGGTATTGGACCGTGGCTTGCTTTGTCACGGGTTCGAGCCCAGTACCACTAAAGAACCGCCGTGTAGGGCAGCGATGCACATTAAATCTGTCGAGAGCTGAAACGTCCTCCCGTTGGTGGGGTGTGGTAGTTAGGAGAGGGGGCTGCCAGCTCAGGTGTCGTCCACGTCACTTGACTATGGTTCAAAATTACGTGGTCCGTCGCCAAAAGCTCTCGTGTAGCTGAACAGTGCGACGTTAATATTCAATCAATCAATCAGCAGATTTGCCGCTCCGGACAAAAATGAAAAGTTTTCCTTTCTCCAAAGCAAAAAATTATAATTAACCCTCTGACTGGATGACCCGCTAATTGAATTTCACTTCGAAAGCGATCTCATTTTTTAAGCTAGCTACTCCGAAAATGCTCCGATAAATTTCACGAACTGCTTCAAAAACGAATGGCTGTTTAGTGCTTTCCCCTGTTAACGCCGCAGGAGGTCCCGATTGGTTTTGCAGGGAAGGATTTTATTGCTTTTCGGTCTCTGTGTTCTTCGAAACGGGAGGTTTTTCATTCACAGCTGTGGCCTAGGGCGTGGATTGTGAAATGGACATTTTCTACACTTCACGGCCAACAGAGAGTTCACCCAATTTATTGCAAATATATATTTCATATATTTGGAAAACTTGCTCAATTTCTGATCTAAAAACCAATTAGGTTTTAAGAAATTTTAATTTTCTGAGTTTTGATTTTAAATTCGGTTTCATTTTAAAGCATTTTTGCATTCCTAGATTGAATTAATTAAAAATATTTTTTAACACAATCCAATATTTCGTGTGAAACGGCAATTAACTACAATTTTAGTTTCTAAAATCATTTCTGTTTGCTAATGTTTTTAAGTTTTTGAGTTTTCTCACATTTACTTAATTAAGATTGATTTAAAGACCAATATATTTTTTGACACATAGTTTATATAATTTAAAAGCTCTTTACTTTGTTTTCATTATTTTTTTTTTCCTTTTGAAAAATGCCATGACCAAAATGTACGCAGGCTACTGTGATAAATAATACTTAAAGGGATGGAATATGACTGAAAATGGTAAATCTAAAATGCAGCTTTTTCAGGTAATATTACAATTAGACTACAGAATACAAATGTTGCAGAATGAACTAAATATTTCCCTGATGTACCACAAACTACATTATAATAAATCTATTGTAGTACTACACTGCAGTATTTTAAAGTCATGCAACAAAAACTTAAAATTGCTTAACTGCCACGATGGGGAACTGAGAAAAAAATAGATATTGTTTACAAACTTGGAGATTTCTGGATTACGTTTGTATAACTACTAATTTCTATATAAATATTTTGCATTTAAAACTCTTGTGAATATATAAGGTTCTGATAAAAGTGAATAATTGATCAAATTAACAGTTGTTATCAATGTTATATATATATATATATATATATATATATATATATATATATATATATATATATATATATAATGTCTTAGAATATTTTGAATTAAAAAAGATATTTCAGTCATATTTATTTCAAGTAGAATTTTCATGTAGAGCATAAGTTGGATAGTAACAGATTGAAAAATTAAAGCTTTACAGGCAATGGAATTTTTTTTATGCCATTACAAATTTTAAATATGTTTTTCTCAGATTTTTAATTTTGAAGATGAGAGTATTTTCTAATCCCTAAGGCGTTTTTCCTGTTCAAGATAGAGTCTTGAAATATCTTGTAAATGTTCCCTTACATATGTTCTATAAAAGTTCATATGGATTTAGGTCTGAGAGCTCTAGTTATTTTTTAAAAATATCTTAATGTTAATATTTTAAAAAAATTGGGTTTTTTCCAGGTTTAGCCAAAAAAATATATATTAAAATTCAGCAAAGAGATATATTTTAAATTTTATACTTTTTGTTTCCAATAATCTAAGAAATATTAATCACTTACAATAATTAAATATTTTTAATAATTTAACATTTTATAAAAGTTTTAAAAATTTCAAAACTGTTCAATGCTTTAAAATTGTGAAATAATGGCTTGTCAAACTAACCTATTATTTTCAGAATCAATATAATAGTATAATTTTAATATGAAACAAAAAATAATTTTACTGTGACAAAACTGTTTACGACTTCTACTCATACTGTAAAAAGAATGAAAGATAAATATATAACATAGTGGCAATCAAAAACACATTCATAATATGTTAAAATCCTGTCCCGATACAAATTTCAATGCATTTTCCAAACTGTAGCTAAAAACAATTATATGTTTATTAGGCCAGAAATTATTTATATTTAGGTATATTTTTCCTTATTAAGTACATAATGAATAATGGCAAGATAATTTGTAAAATCCTGAAAGATTTTAATGAAGAAAAAAAAAGCCAGACATAATTTTAGATAGTTAGAAATTTAATTATATAATACACAAATATGCATGTTTTAAAAGAAATAAGTTGGCTAAGAAAATGAAATTTACTAAAAATTTCCTGAATAAAGTAAATCAGATTTCATCCTCAAATACATATAATTGTAAGAAAAGGTTTTATTCAATTTACAATTAATTACAAAAAACCTTTTATAAAAAATAATTTTAACAGGTATAAATAGCAAAAAATATCAAAGAAATATGAGAAAGACGCATACATGTCGTTTACAGAAATGTCACAGTGTGATATTTTTCGAAACACGGCACTGCACACAGTCCAACATTACAGTCTTTACATTGAAAACGAGTTTTTGATGTTTAACGACTAAATCGTAAATATAAGAAACAACAGTCAAATATCTCGAGTGCAGACGGCGCTCGCTGATATTTGAGTGAGAAAATTAAAGCAGCATAAAATGCGACCTCGTTTGAATTATATCTAATGTGCATATTTGGAACTGTTTAGCGTACTCGAATTAACTCAAGTCAAGGGTTTATATTGCATTCTAAGTCAACACGGTGGCTACTGACGAGCGACTACGTAATTTTGAACCGCGGTTAAGTGACGAGGACGATACCTGAGCTGATAACTCCCTTTCCAAACTTCCACATTACACCAACGTGAGGACTTTTGACGTCGACGTGTTTAACGTGCATCAGCTCCTCTTCAACGCTAAACTTTTGTGGTACCAGGGCTCGAACACTGGACACGAGTTCATAACCACGACCATCAGGCTATCGTGGCCGCAAAAGAAAATAGCAAGTTTGAAAGAAATGTAATGGAGAAGTATATTTGAAGAAATAACTTCAAAACTTAACGAAAAACCAAAATATCAAAATTTATTTTAGGAATAATAGTGAATATAACTTCGTACACCTAAAACCACTTTACGCAGTGTATTTTGAAAGTGAACGTTTCCCCTTTTAGAGAAACTTACTATAATTATGTCAAATTCCTTTCATTTTGCTCTAAGGGGATCCCCGAAACAACGTAATTTATTTGAAACACAAAATTACTTATGGTTGAATCTAATACAATTCCCTACAAAATGAATGAAAACCCTTTTTTATCATATAAATTGTGTTTGAATAGGAGATGGTTAGTTAATAAGAACATTTAAAACGTGTCGGCAATCTATGGACCTGTGGGCACGTGGTACAATTCTTAGTGGCACTCAGCACTACTCTACAAATTTGTCAATTCTTGAGTGGATGGAAGTTGATAATAGACCTTATTTGACAAAAATCTTCTGAGTTATGGACATTTATGGAACTACAAAATAATCTGAAAGATAATTCTAAGGATATATTTACAGCTATTTTGTAAATAATTGAGTGTTATTGCTAGGGGATTTAATTGTTGAAAAAAGAAAATTGCCTGTACTCTGCTTTCCACTTATGTGATTCGGCATATCAAAGTAAAAAATCTTTCCTAATATGAAAAATGTTTCGACTCCGCAAAGAAATTGTTTAACAACTGAATGCTCAGAATCGTGTCATGCATTATATCCC